AATTGCAGCTTAGTGGAAATGAGAATCAAAATTTTGATAAAAGTGAACCGCTTCAAATTTTGATACTAAACTTTCAAACATACAGAATAACTGGAAACTTTTTGAAAAATATTAAGAACTAAAATTTTTAAAATGAATTATAAGCTGAAAAGAAAAGATTTTATCATTTGTAACGCTATCAGAAAAAAATTATAAATTTGAAAAACAAAAAATGAGATATTTAGGAGCTGGAGCCTGGAGCCACTAAATTTTTGGTAGCTCCAGCTCCGGCTCCAGCTCCAACTGTTATGAAAAGCTTGGCTCCAACTCCGACTCCGGCTCCATCAAAATGTAACGGCTCCATGGCTCCAGCTCCCCAGCCCTGCTTAAAACTATCAAATAACACGCAAAACTATAAAAACGAGGCGATGTTTACAACCCTGCTGCTGCTTAGACATCTGTCTGAGCAGCTGAAGAAACTGCAATTATTTGTTATTGGGTATGGTTGTATGGTCAACGACTAACATGGGTATGGTTAAGAGTTAATGTAACAAACAAGGAAATCGATGCTCCAGGAAATCCTGATGTTTAGTAGCTAAGTACAGGTAATAAGCTATTTTTCAGTTGTTACACACTAAATATTGTATTTTATATGATTCCAATATTAGACACTAGAATAGACTTGAAAAAAGCCAAAAAAACGCCAAAAAGCCAAACGGAAATTCTGACGCCAATCGCGTTTGAAAAAAGCCAAAAATGGCAAATTTGGCGTTAAAAAAGCCAATATGGCAACCCTGCATCCAACCCCCTGCATTTGCCCAGTACATACGTTTGGTTGTAATATTACAACCGCTTGCAACGATCCAATACATGTGAAGTTGTATATGGTGTTCACAACGAAGTGCATGGCATCGCTGCTGCCGCGCGTTTGGTTGTAAATCGCCCTTAATATCTTTTACAGTATAATCACGCCAGTAATCTGGCGAAATGCATGGTAATCCAAACACTATGCAATGAAACCCTCATTAAATTTAGTAAATTGCGTTATACTTCACGAAAGCGGGGTAGAATTGACGATTATTTCATATCTCGAACACAAAAAGGGTTACCTTTTTCGAATAGTTTCTGCGATCTGAAAAGTCGAATAAGCGTTTCGATATAGTAAATCAGGGTGGTCCAAAGTTGTGAGGTTGGAAGGCCGCAACTTTTTGAGAAGGTCTCGCGGGCCGCAGTCGAAGAAAACCCAAAAGTGATCAAAACATCGCGAGTTTACTCACTTTAAATATATTTAAGAATGAGAGTTTATCGTCCTAATCAGTTTTTCAAGGAAACTATATAAAGCCTTTAGTTACTTTGAAATTGCTTCCGGATAAATATCGTGGTATTTTCGGTATCTTTTCTCGTGTTTGGTTTTGTAATGTCGCTTAAAATTATATTCTTTCGTGACGGATATATATTACTTGAAAACACATAAGACACTGTGATTTAACGTTGTTGTGGGTAAGGAAATACGTTTTCTCTCAGTTTACTTCGGTCACCCTTTTTCTACACCCATTGATATGATGAATTGTTATATTTAAAAAAAAATTATTACTCGTAGCGTGAGCATGGCTATAGTGCTACCGTCAAAAACAACCAAGTCCGTCCAAGTTGGAACCTCAGACCCAGATAATAAAAAAAACTGGATCGCGCGCCGTCAAGTCAGCTCGGCGATTCGTCACTGCTGACCATCGCTTGAAAATGGAGGAATGTTTTGACTGAAATTTATTCAATCTATGGAAAAAATAGATCCTGTTTTAAATAAAATGCCAGCTCTCTGTAAACAATTACGTTCTCTTATCTCGTCCATTTTGTTTACATAGTATTGTAATATTTGTTCACATTGGTTTCGTTCTTTCACACTTTGCCGGTTTTGGATTTCTGCAGCCCAAACATTCAACTTTACGTTTTGCAGCTTTGCGCATTGAAAAAGAAATAAAAATAGTGATTATTGGTGTTTCACTAAAAAATGAATTGCAAAAAATCAAAAGACAAACATACTCGAAAAATCAGCGCACGAGTAACGGTAGTCATTTGCTGCTCTACTCCATCCACATAAGCGTAAGTCTGTCGAGCAGCTGGGTTTGCTGTGTGTTTGTAATAGTATAGGAGCTGAATCACATTTCTAAAATCAGAGAATTATATATTCATGAAATCCTAAAGTGGCCATTAACAATGTAGTAAATAGAACAATGTGGAATATTAAGAATGTTTTCATTTTGGCGTATTCACTCATCAATCTTATCCATGGGACACATTTCTCTATCCAATTCCTTTTCATAAATATGTATGCCATCCCAATTCCCAACCCATTTCCATGGTCAAGCCACTCGTGACTATAAGGAATCCCTCCCTCATCGACACTCTTAAAACATTCACGAATTTACCGCTTGTATTTGCAAACTTAATTATTTTTGTATAAAGGCGATCTAAAACTAGTTTTTATCTATCTCAATGAATTTTGCAGTTTTGGAAGATTGCGAAATACGTCTGGCTACGTATAAATTGACTAATATTGTCTTGAAAAAAATAAAAATTTGGTTGACACTGACAGCATAACGCCATAACGTATACTTGAATGTTACACTACGAACGCTTAATAATATTATTCTGTATAATTCAGAACAGGTATCCTGCAATACAATATAAGATTATCAGGTATTTTGATTGATACGAATTTGTACATTATTGAAACTTCCTTTTATATTTACCTCGTTCAGGTATTTAAAATAGCTTCCCCAAAGCTGCTTAACAGCGGTTGTCATTTTACTAAATTTGACATTTCTTTTTTGTCTTTTGAGTTGTTGAAGTAACTTCACAGTCAATTCTTTCGAACATTTTATTCCAATCTGAGGATTGCACTGTAAATGAAAAAGGTGGGAATTCCCACCGAAATATTTGGTTCACAAGGTTTTCTACTGTTTCCACCCCTTGGGTAAGCGTTTAACATTTCCACCCAACAAATCCCACCCCAATCGATGGGAAGGTCAACCATCTTGCAAGCCTGGAAATCTACTGTAACCACCCTAAGATAGCATGAAACCACAACGAGTTTTTAAAATTTATACAATTTATTAAAACAGTAAATATTCAGCGAAATTGACTACTAAAGGCCACAAAAGAGACTAAATACAGTCGTAATGAGAAAGTTGAGTTACGCTTTTTTTGTTTGTTGAATGGTAATTCGTCATTTGGTATAGATGCAGTAGGCATGTTGTGATAAATGTCAAGCTTTTCTTTTCCCTTCTGTTATTTGTAGATTGAAAATCCAGTAACAAGAGTCCATCACTGCCATTTCTTTTGTGTAATTAAAGCTTTCATTCAAAATGTGATCTATTGATAATTCAGAGTTCATCATTGGTGTGGTACTTACAATCTGAAAATACAAAAAAATGATTAGATGAGTGAGTCTTTTGCAGTAGAAAAAGGGTCACCCGTTAACTTCGAATATATTCAATGAAAATGTCCTCAACTAAATTGGAGTTCGAGTACTGGACACGTAATTTATGATAGGTAACTCCAGGGCTAGGGAGCCGGAGCTGGAGTCGGAGCCGAGACATTTTGGTGGAGCCGGAGCCAAGTTTATCAAAACAGATGATGAGGATGGAGCTACCAAAATTTTTGGTGGCTCCAGGCTTAACTATCTCATTTTTTTAAATTTTTTAATTTCTGATACGTTACAAATGATAAAAACTACCGTATACTTTTCAGCTTATAATTCATTTTATAAATTTTAGTTCCTTATATTAAGGTAATTCAAAAGTTATTCTGTATCATTATAGGTTTGAAAGTTTGGTATCAAAATTTGAAACGGTTGCTTATTTTATCAAAATTTTGATTTTTATTTCCGCTAAGCTGCAATTTTTCATGATTGTGGTCAAGCTCAAAAACCCTAATGGCCAGGGGTGTATCCAGGATTTTCAAGAGGGGTTTTGAAATTTCCATGCAACATATTATGATCTTTTCATGGCATAAAATATCCAATTCATTTCAAAAGTGTTTAATTCTGTTCAGAATAACTCGTGACTGAGTCGTTATGGGACAAACGAAAGGTTTTACTACTCCCAAATACACCACGGCAGTCTCTGGGCATAAGAAAATGCGGCAAAGTGCCTGATTATATCTTGTTTTGGTTCCTATTTTTTTCGTATTCCTATTCACATTTCTACAATTATGAGTTGTTATGAATTCGCTCTATCGCAATGCTGCAACTCATTTTATTTTAATTATATCCCTGTTAGAAAAGAATTTATTGAATATATTTTCCATAAATTATGTCATATTATGTTCTGGATAAAAGTCTCATAAGTTTCTTTCGTTATTTTTAAAATAAATAAAAATATACATCGCGAGCACGATTCAATTGCATTGTGATTTATTTCAGTGACGGTATGATTTTCAAATTTTTTGGGGTCAGCTCGGACTGCAAATCTGGCATAGCAACACTTTTATTATCATATTTGAAGTTGCCGCATTTGGGTATGCATCACGAGTGAAGGGCTATTGCCGAAATTATCACATGTGCTTTGCATTTTGTGACAATTGCCGATTTTTTTGGTCGCCATAAACATTACGCCGTAAACAGCTTTTATTTCAGTGCTTATTTTTCCCTGAATCACAAATTTTTCAGACATATGTTTTGTCTCGCACATCATACTGTGATAATACGAGTTAATATAGATAATCAACGGTGACGAAATGCTAAGATAAAAAAAGGATTGATTACGCAACCCAAATTTTCTTGAATAAAAAGTGGCATTATAAAGTACTAAAAATAAAACAGGAAACACCATTGTTTCATGATAGCCCGTGACAGATTAAAAACGCTT